CCTCTTTCCACACCTTCTCCAGCAGCGGCGTCTTCAAGTCCGCTGTTGTCTCTGGGTCTATTTTCAAAGCTTCTGCTGGGATTCCATCTAGTCCTGCTGCTTTCCCAGCTTTTAGAATCTTGATTGCATTCAGGACTTCTGATTTCGTCGGAGGTTCGACGTTCACTGGTAGTTCTGCTTCCGTTGTTGGTATTGCTGGGCGTGTTATAGGCAGCGGACGATTTAGAAGTCTTTTGAAGTGTTCAGTTCAGTGTTTTCGTTGCTCCACCTCTTTGGTTGGCTTTCCATTGTCATTTTTTGTTAATGCGAAGACAATATTTCTATATCTCTTTATGTGCTACACAAACAAACTTTATAGCAGACTGTTCCGACTGACTTTGATGTCAGAAAGAACAACCAAACTGTAAATCCATTATACATCAAATTTTGTGTAATTTATATAATAACTTATCCATGCCTGTACAATAGGTATGTTCCTGCATAAACAGGAAGAAATATATATCATTATCCTTTACAAGCTTAATCTGTGTCGAACTTTTGCCCGATAGGTGCCTAGTTGTTTGGTAGAGTGTGGCGAGGTCTCCTTTGCCTGCAGCTTGTTCTGCTTCGTTTGCCATGGTTTCATAATATTTTCTTTTGTCTTCCCTGGCACTCTTCTTCACTCTTTTGTTCAGTGTATTGTAGCTTGCATTCAGCTCCTGTTTTTGTTGCTCGTCAGTGCACTGGATAATCTTTTGTTTCACTGTCCTTCTCTCTTCTATTAGTTTCCAAGTGTCCGTAGTGAGCCACTGTTTGTCCTGTCTCTTCTTTCTGCCTAGAACTTCTATGCAGGTTTGGCTCCACACCGTTTTCAAGTTGTTCCAGTGCTTTTCGACGCTGACCTTTTCGCTGGTGTTGATTTGTATCTCGGCTTTGTCCTTTATGCTTGCAATGAAGATGTCCTTTGTAGCCTGGTCCTTCAGCTTTTGAGTGTTGAACTTGGCTTGTGGTCTATCTGCAGCTCCTGATTCCCTGAAAGCTTTTAATTTGATTTGGATTGTCCCTTGTACGAGATAGTGGTCTGAGCCAACGTCTGCTCCTCTTCTTGCTTTTGTGTCCAGTAGGCTGCGCCTCCACTTCCTTGAGATTGAGATGAAGTCGATTTGGTTTTTGGTTTGCCCGTCTGGTGACACCCATGTAGCCTTGTGGATATCTTTGTGCTTGTATACACTGCCACCAATCACTAGTTCGTTGAAGGCGCAGAAGTCGGCGAAGAGTTCTCCGTTTTCATTCATTTCTCCTAGAGCTTCTCTACCCATGATGAGTTCCCTTCCGTGTTGTCTGGTCCCAGTTTGGCGTTCATGTCTCCCATTAGTATTTTCATGTCGCCAGCTGGAGTATTGTCCATTGTTGCCTGTAGTTGTCTGTAGAATTCTTCTTTCTTTTCGAGGTCTGCGTTGTTTGTGGGTGCATAACATTGTATGATTGACACTTTCCTTCCTTTGGAGTTGAATCTGGCGGTCATTATCCTGGACGAAATCGCCTCCCATTGCATCAGGGCTTTCGTTGCCGTTGGTGACATCATGATAGCCACGCCCTCGGTGTGCGTGTGGTTATCTTCTGGGTGACCGGAGTAGATCACTGACTCACCCGTTGACAATTTGGTGAGTCCACTCCCATTCCATCTGCTTTCACATATTCCCAGCACTTGGATTCCGTATCTTTTCATCTCGTTGGCGATCTGGGCAGCTTTCCCAGTCTCGTACATAGTTCGGACGTTCCATGTCCCCACACAGACTTTTTCTTTTGGTGCAAAGAGGTTCATCTGCTGAAGTTTCTGTAGCAATTTTGTTTACAGGGTGGGGTTGCTAGCCTCACGCCTGAGAAAGAATGATTACATTAAGTAAAGTTTAGAGAGAAGCGACTTTTTGGGTTGCTCCCCTCAAAATCGGAAAATAACGGACAAACAATGAGAACAACACCAGCAAAAGGAAACAGTTCACAGCAAAAAGGGCAAAAAGCGACAACAACATACAATACAACAACATGCAATATAGTTCAGCACAGTTAACTAAAATGATATCTCAACCATAGACTCACTGTTTTGGAACAACTTTAACATGTAAATCCAACAATATATACAATTATAGATGTGTTTATGTTTAAAAATTTCACAAATCCAAACAGTTAGTTATCGGTATTATATGTCGACAAGATTATATCCTCAGATTTAGTGTTCGAAAGGTTCACCGAGGGAGATGGCTCTCTAGTGGTTGCGCCACAGGTTGATCCTGCATGCCGTTTTCGTCTCGTAAGAGGCGAGGATGCGTGTGCTTGGTTTTCCTGAAAACCAATGCCCAGTCAATGGGTGTATCGTGGTGTGAAACAAACGCTTTAGATTCACTTAATGTTATTTATCAACTTTCTCTTTATCTCTACGCATACAGATAAGTGAAAGGTTTTTACTGAGTTATGAGTGAAGAAACAATAGACCGGTCAAGAGTTTTAGTACCTGTACACTTGTTCTTTTCGTTATCATCTAAAATATTTCCAATATCCAGTGTCATTTTTACGAGTCAGTACAAACCAATTTGGTATCTTTGTGTTCGCTTCTTGATTATGAGGCAGACTTCTGCGTAGTTCGTTATTAGTGAATTAACCATACGAATCTTCAGTTAGCTTTGCAACTGAGCAGAAATGATCCATAGAAAGTAATGGTTTACCTTTTGGGATATGCCAAACTCCTAAAATACAATCTAAATAACCAGTGAACCTTTATCACTTCCATCTCTGAAAGTGAGTCTCCCTGCACTGTCGTGATTCTATTAGGTGTCGTACGAATAATGTATCATACTCATACTGAACTATCTTCTGATATCAGCCTCAGTCGTAGTAGTCAAAATAATCTGAATTTCCTGAAGTAACAGATCCCTGAAGGTAAAAAATGGATTTCAACTGTTATAATATAATGGTATCTTCGTAATCACGTTTATAATTGTACTATGGCATTTCACCCATACCGACATCAATGCAGGACTAACGATTTCTGTCAACTTAAAAAAGTAAAATCAGTGTTAGTACAGAAGTCAAACAAAGCATATAGTTAGGCTTCTTCGAGAAATTCGAGCTCACTTCTCTGTGGTTTCAGTGAGAAATAACATTTCGATTGTTTCTGAATGGCCATCTGTCCTGCAAGACATGAGCTTTGGTGGCACCACCTGCTGACTCTTTAGCCTGGCAAACCTAACCTGCTGACCAGACTGTTCTGAGTTCTGTACCAGCTAGTGAAGACAGAATATAACACTAACGTCCCCCCAACGGTGTATTTAATAACGATGATATAGAGAGTGTATATATACGCAATCACCATACAAAGTAGTCACTAAGCTCTTGTCTTTTCAAAATCCAGTTTTCCATGATGTATTTCGCCCCTCACATAAAAAATCGATCGTCTAAGTTGGAGCGGCTGAGGTTCAGTTGATTTGACGAACTTTAATATCTTACAGAAGCACATTCATGTTGCATTGTGTTACCATAGTTCATATCGGAAAATATTTCGCAGATTAAGGTTCGTGAACTGAAAATACCGAATAATTCACAAGTTTCTGTTAGACTACAGTATATATCATGGTATTGATAGGGTAAGTAGAAACAAATTCTTGAAAAATACAGCCGGGATAAGAAATATATTTGGGGCCTTTGCGACTCAGTCTGAATGCATGCCAAAACAATTAACCGCCAAAGTCTTCATTTTAGTCCAAATTAACTGAGCAGAAGAGAGTATTCGATGCTACCTCTAGGTTAACAACACTGCAACGTGCTACCTGCCATTTGGAAGTGAAATTTACACAGACGAATGTAATGTAAGCAAATGACAAAAAACTTGTCAGCTAGTTTGAATGCTTACTGATTTGCTTGGGACAGAGCCTGATAGGGAAGAAGGGTGAAGATTGCCAATCAGGGAGTGACAAACTTATTCTACGCCAGTATGCTATGCCGGAAAGTCAACTGTCCGTGGCTTCTGAATAAATCTTTTGATAAGAAATCAGTAATAATGTCATGCAATGTACAAGATTATGATTCTCAATAAGCCTTGGCATCATGCGAAAAACGTTGTGGACTTCTCACCTGGGTGTGCTATTGTATGACCGTATTCATAGTGATTTGAGCTGGCAAAAAGTGTTTGTCCATCGCATATACTCACCCTTCTTTTACATCTTGAAAATTCATACTCACTAAACCATTGGTTGGTAATCACCATCGTGATACTCAGGCGTGTGTATAGTCTCAGTTGTGTCTCTCGGGTGGCCTTCATTATGAATGTTCGCATTCTGCTGCAAACACATATTTCACAGCATATTTACTGATTCAGGGATCTGTGAAGTGTTTTATTCTGTATGACTTCATGGAGTCTATGGGGAGAATAGTCCTGTTTCAGTAGGGAGTGCACCAATCTCATATCCTTTTTTAGCTACTTTATTGTCTCTATTAGCTTCTAAAAGAACCATGTCTCTTTTGCTTAAGTTTTCAGGCTATCTTGCCAATGGTCTTTCTCAGATTCCTTTCCACTTCACCTCCGATAGAGCTGTTTAAATGTCCATAGGTCCAACACGTGCCAGATAACTAGACGATTTCAAAGTTCTCCGGAATAAACACCTTGTAAATTTTCAAAACCCTACTGAATTCATCATATGTTCCTGTCGCGATTTCCACATTTCTCAATAGTATTTCGATTTCGCCTGGTAGAATCAAGGGTATGTTAGCGTTAGAATGTTTAAGATAAAACCAATTGTATAACATTGAACGTTATGAAGTGATAAAAGGCTTCACTGGATGGAGTTAAAACTGGTTCCGATGGATATGATATGTAGTGATAACAGTGAGGCAACCTACATCTAGCTTCAGTGTGCATATGGGAGGAATAGGATAATTAACGGCATATCGTCGCTTTGAATAAAATTATGCACACAATTGTGATTTGACGTTTCATTTCAAGGCTTACGAAATGCATTTTCATATCTAGTCAAGCGAACGTTTTATTTTGTTTGAATTTCCCATGTTTCAAGGTTACATTGCTACCTCAAACAGAGCGTGATATGAGTTGGCATTTAATACAGGATGAATGAAAATGTCGTTAAACTTTTACCTAGAAAAGAATACGTTTCTGCCTACACACAATATATGAGCGATGATGGAGGACAAAGACTATCAGCAGCGGCAATAGCTGGTATTTCTATTGGAGGTGGGTTGAAATCCTGTAAATGAATGTTTTCAATTTTTGTTTCATATTTTCGAATTGCATTTTTTTGAAATTCTTAATAGTCTCTCTGCGTGTATTAGGCTTGATCTTCTCGAAGTATTATGCTTATTTAAAGTCACAAAGTATTAAATTTATAAGTTATCATTAATTCACACTAATTCAATTAATTACTTATTTGAAGATGGTTCACATTGGAAAACTGTTCTGCTGTCACCTGACTGTGAGACGGTTTGACTGCTACACACAATTTTATGCTATTTTTATTCATGCTATGGTATTTATGAACGTTACATGAATTCTGCCGAATCGATATTTTTTTATCAGATATCGTTGTATGATAAAAAAATCATTCAAAGGCTAACTTGAGTCCTGGTTTCGGTCTTTATCTCAACATGGGTGTGTTATGGTCTTAAAATTGCGGATAATTTCCTGATACATCTGGTAATATTCTGTCTTATATTTTTTGTTTTTACTTAGTGTTTTGATCGATCAAGGCTTACTTAATGAGGTTTTCCAAACTAAATTATGAGTGTATAAAGCACGCTTCATAAATCGATTTTTCCCAAAAAATTTACAATTTTTATGCCGAGTCAAAACCTTAGGTAATGCTAGCTCACAAGATATAGTTATGTTTTTCATAATAATTATTACTCTATGTAGAATGCTATTTTCTATGAAGAGTAGTTTGCATTTGAGTCAGTTTTGTCACTGAGAATCTGAGATTGGTGTCCTTTAGGGAACTAAGTTTCTTTATTTTCTTATACAGAGACAGTCTTTAACTACAGAATCTTTGCTTTAGTTCATAAATAAAGACCACAATCTTGATGATAGAAATAGCTGAACAGAATTATTATTTTTGCTGAGATTGTCTTAGCTTGACACCATGTATTATAGTAGCTTAGAAGAAACTGTATTAGAAGTCAATATTATTATGCTGTTTTTATTCAAGAGGTTTTATCTACGTATATTCATTTTAGTGTATCTTGATACTTTTTGATTTTGGCATTACTTCATAAGTCAGTTTGTTCCCTTGTACAATTGACAGAACTGTACTTTCTGAGACGTAATTAGAAACATTTGTTTTCGGTCCCTAGTATCAGTAAAAATTCCATTCACCATAGTCAACAAGACGCATCTAAAAAATCACTCAGCTAGTGCCGTATTTCTTGTAAGACACATCCATCCACCTGGTGTCTGAAAAAGCAGCGTTTTACTGTTACATTCACTGTTATACAAGTATTTTCGAAAATCTAAAAATCTCTTATTCTTTATGTAAAACTATTCAGTCAATTTTCAGTAGCTTTTTTGCATCGTCTTTCACCTTTAATCTTTAATGATAATGGGAAATGTGCCTGTAAGTTGATTAAGAAAAACACAAATGGACGTGTAATAATCTGCTGACTGCATACACGCTATCTAAATAAATTAATCAATGATTAATTAATCTTTTTGAATGGGTAAATATAATTTTATGCATACAAATCATGGTGACATTTTTTTAATGAATGGAAGCTTTATACCCACAGCTAGTGTGAAGTTTTATGGTTATGTTCGGGGGAATCTAGGTGATAGAGGGTAAATCTTCTATTCTAATGCTATAGGGACTGTAGGTCAGTCTTATTTTGGAGCACACATCTACATAAGGTCTAACTCAAAATAAAGTAAAATAATAATTGTTTTTCCATATAGCTAATATTCTGGAATAATATGGTTATTGCAAATAGTTAATCTACAGTTTATTCCTCCGGGATCGATATTCTGCACACAGTTTCCGGCAGTTCTTCTTCCAGTCGCAGACAATTTCGTATTGAGTTAATACATCCTATCGGCGGTTTCATTCTCCTCAGTTTTAAACTACCAGAAGCTAAATAGGAGTTTGGCATGTAAAATTAAGTTCTAATATCATGGTGGTAACAGTATACGAGTTCAAACTTGAGCCAACACTTCTTAAATTTGAAGTATGGTATTTTACTGAATTACATAAGAAACTATTATGAATAGGAATTTTTCGTGTAGAAAATGATATCAGGGGGTAAATTCCTTCGAGAAAATAGCATGCAATGTGTCATTTACATAAAAGTCACCTTTCAGAACTGAATTATTTTCTGCTTAAGGGCAGTAATACAGCAAATACTCTTGATATCTTAGAGACACTAAATCAGCCGATTACTGTCCTGGAATAAATCGGGCGTAATGATTGTATTAACAACGTAACATTATTGAACTCCACCTAACTAATTATTATCATCACACATGTTCTCTTCCTCTCACCACTTCTATGTCTTACGAAACAAAAACTTAAATGGGCTACAGGTTTTCAGGCAGTATTTTTGAAGGTACGCAAAAGTTTCGGAATTCAAATAGAGTAAAAAATGGGTATCAAGACTTTTAGCTCAAAATAATGAGTAATATGTGAGTTATCCAACAATGACTGATGGCTGCACCATATATCGCTAATTTTAGGAGCTAAAATTCGTCGGTCAGTGGAATGGGTCTCGGTGGCTGGATATTCTGCGAGTTCGTGTTGTAACAGAAACGTCTTGGGCAGAGGAAGTTTAGTTAAAGGAAAAAACAGGGTTAGGTAACGTGTTTATAGTACAGAATCCATTTTGGGTGGAAGTGAATTCAGATATTGTGCATTATTGTAGGAGAATAAAATAATTATGTAACCAAAGTAAAATAATATCGGAGTCAAAGCATCTCCACATCTGCAATCAGCATTGTGGTTTGAATTCAGTACTTTTAATATGTTGAAAATTGGATATTTTGACTAGGCTTCCCATGTGAAATTGATGTGTTTGATTGCCGCATTAGCACGAAAACTGCTCACTTCTTTATGCTGATTAATCTTTGCTTTGAAGGATTTGATTTTAGTCTGCAAGACAGAATATTTCTACCAGTGTCTGTTCATTTGAAATGAAACAATGAAGGTTATTTGAATTCGGTGTTTATTCACTTCAAATTGGTCTATTAAGCAGTGTAGTGTTTTATATTCATGAAGGTTGATGCTAAAATCAATCTGCATACATACTTTGAGCAGTGCATTCCTTTCGAATACGGTAGTGAGAGTATGAGTCGTTTCAGTTTATCTTAAAGTTAACTTCATGTTAAGTCTTTTACTAAATTGTTTCAGCTCGAGACACAGTCAACTCTTTTTTGCATTCGATGAGAAATAACATTCAAACTATCCCTTGAAATGGATAGATCATTCTGCGCTTATATCTTAAACTGCAGTACTGCAGTAAGCAGAAACATTTGTTTTATTATAATTATATATTATATATATTATATATATATATATATATTATATATATATATATATATATTATATATTATAATTAATTATATATTATAATTAATCAAGCTGTGGCTTACACGGCGAAACGTTCAGAAAAATCTTGTTTTGATTTTCTTAACACGCTGGGATCAATTTAAATAATTTATAATGAATCAATTTGACTCGGCGCTCAAATTATTCCAGGAAATTCGTAGCACCTACGGTCTGGAGTACTGGACAGCTGTTTTGTCCTAGTTTGAAACTCTTTATCAATACGCACACACTGGGGTTAGAACCCAGGACTTTCTGGTTACAAGGCAAGCTCGTAGACCATTGAGCCACTGGGACTCGATCCAGCTGATTGATTTAATTAAGATGTAAGTAGCTGAAGAGAATTCAGGAGGTGAAACAAGGTCGTATTACCCTGCAAGTGTGTTCGTTCTTTATTAAAAATAATATAGGAAACCGGCTGTATGAAATTCTCGCTTCTGTCAGTTCCCGATTTTAACGCAACCTAGTTGACCCTACCGATCACGAATTCTCATCAGAACGGTCGATAACTTCGTTCTGTAGTCAGTCACTAGCGAGCAGCAGATTAATTTTGAAGGGTTACTTTATATGGAGTTGCTTCGTTTAAAGTTTGATCGTCGATTGATGCACTGTTGACGAGTCTCAAAATACGGCCAAACAACTGCCTAGTACTTCCTAGTACTTTCAGTGGTTTCCTGATGGATATCACTTTGTGATCAGACGTGAAATAAATTGTAAGTTTCCAGACCGTAGATGTAACGAATTTCCTGTAATAATTTGGGCGCGAAGTTAGATTGAACCATTATAATACCAGTGTGTTTAAGAAAAAAATAAAAATAAGATTTTTCTGAATGTTTCTTTGCAGCTTCTTCAACAGAATTATTTGGATTTTATTAACCATCAAAATATTTAGTCAAAACTTACATAAATTGCAATCAGTTCCTTTTGGAAGTCACTTGTCAGTAAACATTTGTACCAACAGAAAATTGTGAACAGTCATCACATATTATCTGTAACAACAAATGTCACTAAGGTGAAATAAATCAAGACCTTAGAAGCTAACTCCAGAAAATAATTTCAATATTATACATTGTTTATCTGAGATGAACTTTATTGTTACAGTAAAGATCTTGTTGAAACTTCTCTAAAATTAATTCTGTTAGTTAGTTAAGAATTACACCGTAAACCAACTTCGTTAACGATAACGTCAGATTAAAAGTGAAGGCTAGAGAGATGAAATGCTTGCATCATTGAGGAACTTCTAAATGGCATTAAAGAAGAGAAACTTTATACAAATTAAGTGGGAATAAATGAGCTGGAATTGAGGATTTTGTTATTTAATTTGGTTTGAAAATATTCCTAGGTTTTTGACTGTCTTATAATGTAGTTTTTGTGATGTTTATCAGTTTCTTCATAAGGAAGAGTGAAATTCCGATTTTCTCAGGTTACAGGGAAAGTAGCAGTACTGTTAGAATTACATTTATGACATGATATAAGCTGGAAAAGACACTGTTTTCCTAACTTTAGTACTAATTCCAGTTATATTGCCTTATATTATTCTTAACCTTTGCCCTTATCCCAACTGTAAACATAATCTTTATCCTGCCCTTAAACTGATTTTCAAATCGACCATAATGCTTTTTAAGAACAAACGTAGAATTGTATCATCCGTGGT